AAAAATGAAAAATTTTCTGAGTGAACATTGAAAGTTAAGAAAATTAAATTCAAGAAGCTAAAATTGAAGCGAAAGTGAGATTGATGAAGCTTGAAGAAACCAGGACACAATTAAAGAAGCAAGAGGCTAGTGACAACGAAGAAAAGCTAAGTATACTGATAAAAAGGACATTCAAGGGTGACTTTAATTTAATTGATCTACGTCATCTGAAACACATTCAGATTTTCAAATTCCTTTTCTTTGATGAAACCAGCCATTTGACTTCCTGCAATTGCGTACGTAATGCTTCCAATACGTGAAATGATTACTTAAAAACGCATTGCATTGAGTTTTACATTTCGTTAGCCTTTGTTGATGTAAATTAAGAGTGGGAGTCGTTGAATAGGTCAGAGGGGGGTCGATGCAAGATGAGGAGGGGTAAAACTTGAGGCAGCAAAGGTTTTTTGACCCTTTTTTTAAAAAGTTTTTCTGTTTTTGTTTTTTTTGTAAATCGAGCCTATGAGTCATGTGTTTCTGCCTGTGAGACTTACTTTCGTGGCTATTGATTGGTTCATCCTTGATGTAGAGTGGCATCAAGGACATTGATTGCTTGCTCGTAAAAGAGACTTGCAATTTTTTGTCTAGATGCCTGTTCTCACACACAGCATTAGACTTACATCAGGTCCAATGACGTATCGTGTAGTTTAATGTGAAAAATGAGCCTCTGATGATTTGAGTTGTAATCAATAGAAGCTTAATTACAAGCGTCTAACTCTAACCCTAAATTGTGGTTCTTTTTCATGCTCAGGTGTGTGGTAAAGAACGTTTTTGCCTCTATCTCGGACTTTTCTGATTCAAAGCCTGAAATGTGAGCAGTAATGGAATGAAAACACGATTGATTCATTTCCTTGCTTGAAATTAAACTTGATATGATTAACTATGAAAGAAGAACCATCAAAAATTTTTCTTTCTCAGTTTAATCTCTCCTTTATCTTGCATCAGCTTCTCCCTTACCTGTCCATCGACTTCCATCTTTAATTTACATCGAGAAAAGGCAAACGCAACGTAGAACTTAATGTTGTGTGATTTGACTTAATCATTTTACGTAACGTAGGCTTTATGTGAGCCTTTTTGAAAGTTTTTCTGACTAATTTCCATCAGAGAAAGTGAATTTGATATCATGAAACTTTAATCTAAACAGCAAATCTTAATTAAGAATTAAATTTATTTTGATTTTACTAATTCGTTTTTAAAATTGCCATATATTTTAGGTTCTTTAAGGAGCAGCACTTATAGCCATCATAAAACATTTCATATGTTGTGTTATTTTCTTCACATTTGAACAATTACTCATCGTTCACACACAAGTAAGCACAAAGTATGAATATTTGAAAAAAATATCCGTTAAAAATGCTCAATTGTAAATAAATGTAAACAAACGATTGAAATTGACATGAATAGGAGCTGAATACACCCTTAATTAACGACAGAAAATGTGAAATCACAATTAGTCAAATAGATCAAATTTCTCAGCAACCTTTGACTTTCGAATTTTTCACAATTTTCTTAAGTTTAATTCTTTAAAGACGTGTTTTTAAATATTGTTGCAAATCAGTGCAAATAAATTGGAACTTGATATTATTATTGCTTAAAAAGAAGTGGAGTTCAAGATAAAAGTGATAGTGAAGTGCTAAAATGGAAGCAGTGAAAATAAGCCAAAAGTGATGAAAAAATTAAAAGTGAAGAGAAAAATGAAAAATTTTCTGAGTGAACATTGAAAGTTAAGAAAATTAAATTCAAGAAGCTAAAATTGAAGTGAAAGTGAGATTGATGAAGCTTGAAGAAACCAGGACACATTTAAAGAAGCAAGAGGCTAGTGACAACGAAGAAAAAGCTAAGTATACTGATAAAAAGGACATTCAAGGGTGACTTTAATTTAATTGATCTACGTCATCTGAAACACATTCAGATTTTCAAATTCCTTTTCTTTGATGAAACCAGCCATTTGACTTCCTGCAATTGCGTACGTAATGCTTGCAATCCGTGAAATGATTACTTAAAAACGCATTGCATTGAGTTTTACATTTCGTTAGCCTTTGTTGATGTAAATTAAGAGTGGGAGTCGTTGAATAGGTCAGAGGGGGGTCGATGCAAGATGAGGAGGGGTAAAACTTGAGGCAGCAAAGGTTTTTTGACCCTTTTTTTAAAAAGTTTTTCTGTTTTTGTTTTTTTTGTAAATCGAGCCTATGAGTCATGTGTTTCTGCCTGTGAGACTTACTTTCGTGGCTATTGATTGGTTCATCCTTGATGTAGAGTGGCATCAAGGACATTGATTGCTTGCTCGTAAAAGAGACTTGCAATTTTTTGTCTAGATGCCTGTTCTCACACACAGCATTAGACTTACATCAGGTCCAATGACGTATCGTGTAGTTTAATGTGAAAAATGAGCCTCTGATGATTTGAGTTGTAATCAATAGAAGCTTAATTACAAGCGTCTAACTCTAACCCTAAATTGTGGTTCTTTTTCATGCTCAGGTGTGTGGTAAAGAACGTTTTTGCCTCTATCTCGGACTGTTCTGATTCAAAGCCTGAAATGTGAGCAGTAATGGAATGAAAACACGATTGATTCATTTCCTTGCTTGAAATTAAACTTGATATGATTAACTATGAAAGAAGAACCATCAAAAAATTTGCTTTCTCAGTTTAATCTCTCCTTTATCTTGCATCAGCTTCTCCCTTACCTGTCCATCGACTTCCATCTTTAATTTACATCGAGAAAAGGCAAACGCAACGTAGAACTTAATGTTGTGTGATTTGACTTAATCATTTTACGTAACGTAGGCTTTATGTGAGCCTTTTTGAAAGTTTTTCTGACTAATTTCCATCAGAGAAAGTGAATTTGATATCATGAAACTTTAATTTAAACAGCAAATCTTAATTAAGAATTAAATTTATTTTGATTTTACTAATTCGTTTTTAAAATTGCCATATATTTTAGGTTCTTTAAGGAGCAGCACTTATAGCCATCATAAAACATTTCATATGTTGTGTTATTTTCTTCACCTTTGAACAATTACTAATCGTTCACACACAAGTAAGCACATAGTATGAATATTTGATACAAATTGGATTTATATAGACTTTTTTAACTGACAAACTACAGAAGAATTGTCTTGACGATGTCTTTTTGTCTTGACGATGATCAATCATAGAGGTTCTAAAATCGGGAATATTCCCGAAATTCCCGTTTTCATACCAAAAAAAAACCGACAATTCAAATTAGTTTTTTTTTTATTTTGTATTTTCCATGAAAAAAACTACAATTTAAAGAAAAAATTTTAATATTGAAAACATACGTTAAGGAATTTAAGAGTTGAAATATTAAACTCAAATTTGATGTTTTTTAAATCAAAAACATATATTTATGAAAAACGAAGAGAAAAAGTATTTAAAAATACTTTTTAAATGTATGATGTCCATAAAATAATAAATTTAATTGACATTGGATTAAAGTAATTTTTCGCAGTAGATTGCTAGACCAGTTAAAATCGTACTTTAAGAATTGTTCTAAAACCAAAAAAAATTGAATTTCAAACGGAAATTATTGTCAAAAGAATCAATTTGACAATCAAATCAAATAGAATTTAAATTTGATTTAAAAATCTAAATAAAATACATGGTGTAAGTGTAGCTTTTAACTTTTTTTTTTGTTGATTCTCGGGAATATTCCCGATCCCGTTCCCGATTCCCGAAATCTTAAGGGAACGGGAATTCTGGAGCCCCTAACCCATAGTTCATTACTAATAAAATGCAAATGTGATAATCATATTAAGTTACATTTTGGATTAAACGTTTATTCATACAAAGCGCTATAAAAACTGAAAAATTCACCAAAAAACTTCCTTTACCTTGCAATTACCAACCAGCCATCATAAAATAATTTTCCAATACAAAACAAAAAACTACAACTTCAAAATTATTCACAAAATAAGCAAATCAAAACAAACAAGAGAAAACTTTTCAAGTGATTTGATTTCAATTTGATGGAAATTATTCATCTGCAGGTCCCACAAAAATTCGAAAATAATTTTAAATGAGCTTCAAATTGCAATTAACTGCATCGGTGCTTCGAAAATTCATCAAATAAACGAGGAATTTATTTGATTTTTAAATTTTTTCATGCACTTTTATTTGCTGTTGTGGATGTGCTACACGTGTACTTAACCCTTTCCACCTTTGAGTATCAAATAACATGGTAGATGAAGCTATATAGTGCACGGAATAGATAGTAATTTGATAAGGAATGTTTTTGAGTTGTTTCTTGTGGATTGCTAATGTTAAACTAGGAAGTTTAAGTGGAAAATTAATGAAATTGATTGGAAATCGACATTTAAAGATAATCTTCTAACTTCAAAAAAAAATTTTATAATTTAAAGTAAAATTGCAATTATAAACCAAGCTTTATAAATTTCAATAAGATTCGAACTTTGACTTTCAAATTATTTTCAAGTCATTTTAAATTTCACTGCATAAAATATTTTACAAAATCCCCAATTAATACAAAATAAAATCAATTCCAATTAACAAAAAGCCTATAAACAAATAAATCTCTATAAAACCAATTTATTAAGTTGCTAAATCAAATAAATTACTGACTTAATGGATTAATATTTATAAATTTTACTAATATTTTCATTATAAAGCACCGCAATTGCAACATAAAACTGTCTCCAAATAAAAAAGCATTTACCAATAAATTACGAACATGATATGCACAATAAAAATGTGATAATGGACGTTGAGGATTTAAAAATTTAAAATTCTAGAATTTTTCCAACGGCTTTTTAAAATTTGAAATTTTTATGCTAGAAAATCTAGAAAAATCTAGTAATCATGTGTTATTCCAACATTTCTTATCTTTCAAAAATTTGGCTTATAAAATCCCATTTTTTTGAATAAATGAAAATATTTTCACAATTTTTTGAATCTTCACATTCATCCAAACTAGTCCCATTGATAATCTGAGTATCTGGAGATGGGTGGATAATTTTCTTTCACTCTTTTGCAAGTGCAAAAAAAATTAAAATTCAGTGAATTAAAGTCAACCAAATCAAAAGCAAAGAGTTATAATTAAAAATTAAAGAGTATTGTTAATCTGTGATGTGTTTAAAATTAGTGAAATGTTAATTCATCAATCAAAATTTTGTTTTTAATTGAATAACATACGAAATAATAAGAAAAAGAGAAGAAAAAAATGGGCAAATACGATAGTAGTGAGCTTATTGAAGCGAGTAGAAAAGGCGATTATTCTACAGTCGAGAAAATTTTAAATCATCACAAATCAAAGAAGTCTGCCTTTCACAGGTAAATGAGACTAGGAAGCTACATATGTAGGGGCAACCATGGCACAGAAAAAAAATCAATGCAAACATTCGGATGTGCAATTTTTTTTACACAAATTTGTTTTCTGTGACAAAAAAAATCTTCTCAATTCAGTTGAATGAAAAAAAATTTACTATAATTTTTAAATTAGAGTAAATTGTGACGAGATTAAGTTGCAAATAATTTATATGTTCGCATTTGAACAAATAGAATGAGAGGAAAAATTTATGTTCGATATAAAAATTTTCGCACTGGCAATGAAATTTTTTTTTCTTCTTTTAAGATGTAAAAAAATATATGTGAGGAATTTTTCTTGTGTTCTACTTTTGAAGTTGGAAAAAAATATTTGTTTGAAAAAAAATTAAAGAAAGACTTAAGATAATTTATTTTACAATAATCTTAGGATTCGAACCTTCTACTTGATTTAATTTATTTTCAAATTCCATAAAACTTCAGACTTTTAACTTTACAGTACCTCAATATGAATTTTATATGTAAGGAGTTTAGATTTAGGGTAGGTTGCGGTTTTCGGATTGTGCGTCAACCAGACTAGTAAACGTAAAATATGTTGTGATTGTAGAAAAAAAATCCTCAAAATATTTTCTTTCCTTTTTTCATGCTTAATGAAAATAATTTTTTGGTTCAACTTTTTTTTTTGTAAGAATTGTTTGGCTCAACTCATCTTAAGTTATTGTTGCCATCTATTACTGCCTAAAAAAATTATTTATTTTAAAAATTAAAAAATAATCCAACACAATTTTAAAACATTTATTGATCGTTTGCCTTTCAGGAATCGAACCTTTAACATATTCATAAAATTCATGAATTAATAATTCAAATTTTAATTGTTTCTTTAAAATTTAAAATTAAGTTGATTATATATTTCAATTTTGAAATACAATTTTCAATCTTAAGCTGATCTGAGCCAGAAATTTTGAAAATAAAATTGACATCTGCTAGTTGATTTGAATTATAACATACAATTCATGACAAAGAATATTATTCTTAATTACTCAGAACAATCGGAAGTTCAAGATCAGATGATTAAGAATGTTTTGAAAAAAGTTCAGTATTTTATTACATTAAATCTAATGAAATTACTTGCAATCTTAGTCATAATAATATTTAAGCTCTAAAGTACAGTTTTACTTGACAAGTCACTGCACTCAGATTAATCATTTTGTTTACATTTGAAGCATAAGACTCTAGAAAAAAAATTAGGCAATGAGATCACTTCTGATGTTAGAATTCTTAAAAGCAATAAAGTTAACAAAATCGTGCATTCATTTTGTACCAATATGCTATCAATACTCAAAAATTTGCAAAGAAATTACTCATTACATAAACATTCTTATCTACCCACACACAAATATTTTCAAAAAATTCTAAAGAACAAGAAATTATCTAACATGAAACTTAGGAGTCCTCAGTTTGAATATATGTTTTGTTCCAGAAAAATCGTGTTTAAATCGAAAATATTCACATTGAGTAGCTTCCCCAAATAGCACAAGTCGATTAATTGAAAAGAAGTCCGACATCAGCTGGTATAACTCTGGCATGGCATGGTGTTGGATTCGATTTAAGTCTAGCACCAAACCAGAATCACACAAGCCATGTGCCGGATTCTATTTGATTAACAGACTTGTGCTATTCGGGTTCAATACGTATGCTGATATTCTTTGACGTACAAAGTCTGTGCGTATGTGGTGTAATTTTATTTATGCATTACGAATCTATGATTGTTCATTTTGTTGTTATATTTTCGGATTCTAGAATTTATAAAATTGTAGAACTCAGGATTAATTCAGATCTAGCTGAAATAAAATAAATCACATTTAAAAAAATAATTAAAGTGGAGGAATTTTTAAAAATTGCTCAAAGAATCTCAAAGATTGCAAAAGAATTTCAATAAATTGTTGGAATTTTATTATTTCAACATGAAAAAGATCAAACAAAATGAAAAGAAGGAATAGTAAGTTGAGCTTAATTTACAGAAAGACCCCTTCTCCTAAGCATTAAACACCCCATTAATTTACCATCAATAATAGTCATTATTCACTTAATGATATCCATTAATAATTCCAAACAAATACTAAAATAGTAATAAATATTCCAACTTAATATCCTAAAAAGCAACAATCATAAAAAATTACATTTAAAAAATTATAGAAGTAAAAAATTAGTTTCACATGCCATAGCTACAAAGTATTCCTAGATATTTTTTGTCATCAAAGCTTAATAAGATTCATACAAAGTTTTCTAAGCTCACATTCAAGTGCCTTTCATAAATAACATTGCAAATCCAATTAGAGAAAGATAAGAAGAAGAAACTTGTGCTCATTAGACATTGCAGTGGTTTAGACGTTGGTTAGAGTTGAGGAAAAAATTGGCAAAATTGAGGTTTCTGGATTTTTGTCAGATCTAGAGCCTCAAACTTACTGGTTGTTCAAGAAGTTACTAAAATAATCCAAAGTAGACAATTTGATCTCCCAGACACAAAAATAATCAGCATATATCCAATCAAAGTCCTTGAATCCAAAATCTCGCCCAAAATAAATTCAATCTACTAGATATTCGTGGGTGCACTTCATACTTTATTTTGTTTCAAATAAACGAATTAATTAAAAATAATATTTCGAGCTTATTAATATATAAACAAGCTGAGTAATTTGGTATTTATTCAGATGATATAATAAGAAAACATGAATGATATTTTTCAAACGAACTGTGAGATAATTTCCTCATGTGTTGGTTGACTTTGGATTAAAAATGCGCACAAACAATGACTGATAAGGAAAAAAAGAGTTTTAGTGATGCGGTAGGAATTAGATAATGATGTTGCAAATGTTGGTAAAGATGGATATAGTTGTGAATTTAGAATGAAGTAGGGAAGGGTTCAACTAGGTTTCATAGCAATAGCTAAGGCAGAACTTTTGACAATGTAGACTCAATAAAAATCCAAGGGTGTGGTAATGATGAAATGCTCAAAAATGATCAAAAATGATCAAAAAATCATCAAAAATGATCAAAATGTAATTCTTCAGTTTCACACCCTGTAAAAACCCTAAAAGAATCATTCACACCCCTGATTTCCAGCAAGACAATGACAACAATCCTATCCCATTAAAACCTTCATTTACACGTCAATAAATATTATTATAAGCACCATCATACCTTATTTATTATTCCATTCTCATATTTTTCACAATATCATTTTAAAAAGTTTCTTGCATCCTCTTCTCATCTGGATATGAATATTCAAGAGACAAAATTTACATTGCTACAGATAACTTCATTATTTTCCATAAAAATTACAATGAACATGACTATAAACTTCATTTTTATTGACATTAGAATTGAAATCGACGTCCGTTTAAATATTCAGGATATTGTACGAGTTTTAATCTTCTTTTCTTCCTTTTTTTTTAAGTTGCATGGAAATGAGGTCAGTATTGAAAAATCTGTAGCAACAATTGGCAATAATAAGTTATAGAATTAGGTTATTGACATAATGGATAGATAGTTTGTGCAAAGCTTTGTGGAAGGAAGTTAAATGTTTTATTGAATTTTGTAGAAGTTGGTTCTTAATATCTTGATAATGGGAAATTTTACAGATCAAAGAACATTAAGGAATCGTTCACAAGTGACGTCGCATTAGAGTATGTTGAAGTTAATCTGACTCTCCTCTTTTATATTAAGTATAGCTAGCTCAACTGATCCTCTATTATAAAAAATAACAACATCCTTTACCATGTTAAACTATGCATAGCATTTAGAACCTTCACATTAAATTCCAATTATTTTTATCCACACTCTACAAAACTATAGTTCGACTACAAAATTTACTAAGCATTTAAAAATAAACTAAATCAAATGAACTGTATCGAAATCATCTGCGTTATTCATGGTCAACTAATACATATGTTATTAGCTGTTTATTTGCAATTACTTTCCACGATAAATTTAATTATTGCGGTAATTGATTTTTGTAATATGTTTCAAACCATAAAATATGAATGGCGGAGGAAGGATTTTTGGTGATTTAGATTAAGATGGAAATTTGGGACTGAATTGAAATTCAAAGGATTTCAGATCAACGCTTCAAGCTACCAACATTTAAAATCTAGCTCAACTCTCATTCCTTCCTACATCAATGAGTTTATGCCATTTTTTACGACATCCATTCAAATTTAGCTGATATATTTATGGAAAATTAATAACTATATTGCATTATGTGTCGCATGTGCAAATCACATTATTGAGACATTTAACTTATGCGTCCATGTTCGTCAGTTTGATGTCCAACGAAGTTTTTTATGGGAACTGTCCATGGAATATGATGACCAAAGTACTATCAGATTGATAGTCAGCCTTAAAATTTTTGGACAATTTATGACATGAAGCTTAAAATTCACATTTCATAATAACTTAGTCACAAGCAAAAAAGAACTCGCAGTAAATTACAAAAAACTTGATGTGCTGCAAATTTTCAAAGTGCCATTTTACATGAAACGTTTTTGCCACGCTAAGTTCTTCTTTAAAAATTTAATGCCACACAAACTTTATATCCATACCTTCCTTTATTCATGTCATGATAAAAATTCTTTACATTCGCATATAATTTTTTTTGTGTTTATATAAATTCTAAAAGCTTATCCATTGTTTACTTCATCAAGCTTGATGAATGATTCATTTTCCTGCTATGATTGTCTGCGTCCGTGACGTTAAACAAACAAAATTTATATTTTATTACAATGCTAATTAATGCTTTATTTAATTTTGTAGTTTACGAAGAGGTGTAGGTGTCAATACACAAGATAGTTCTGGATATAACGCACTACATCATGCAGCTTTAAATGGGCATAAGTAAGTATTATGTACTTTAACATCTAATTTCGTTGAAGGACGGAGTGAAAATTGAGAATTTTAGGAATTGAAATTATTGTTGAGTGCTTTGAAATCTAGTCTAAATTGAGTTTGAACCAACTTCATAATATTAAACTCTAAATACTATGACTTTAGAATCGTAGCATTCGAAATTATCAATTGCTCATCATTTAGCTATCAAGTAGTCACTATGAAACTTAGATTATACCTCAGAATGTAAAGCATTGTCAATAAGACGCCTCCAAGATACTTTGATTGAGACTTAGTTTTTATAGAGTCTCTTTTATGGTGCCATTCAAGAAATAGAATAAGCTTCGGATAGAACTCTTAAAAACAGCTTTTAATCTAATCGGAACCTCAGTTCAACAAACTACATCCAAAATTCTACATTAGAAATTCCAAAAAAACATCATAAACTCAAAAATTTCCCCACCCAGCACCCTTGACAAGTTCACATCAAAATTCATTACCACTTGAGATACATCAGTTCCCACCCAAATAATTTGTTATTGAATTGCAAAGTGTGAAAACTTTCTGTCTTCATTCCGCCAAATGAAAGTCTGAAAAACGATCGGTTTGATGTTAAAGCTGACAGATTTGTAAGAAGAATCGCAAGTGTGCTGAGATAAATTGCTAGTTTGTCAATGATTGACTTATATTTTGAAAATACAGCTGATTTAAAAATTGAGAGCAGACATAAATTCTGCTATTTCGCGCTTCAAATTGGCAAGGTCAATGATTTCTGACTAAACAACGACCAAATATCTAATAATCAATGAAAATAAAGAAAAAGAATTAATTTACTTCCGTGAGTCATTGCAGAGTAAAGTATAATTCACAATAATAGGAAAATTAGTTCCAGATTATATTATGAAAAATCTTTAATTCCTCCATTAGTCATCACTGCTTGGAATTTTCCTCTCATAAAATCAAAATTTCACAGTGAAATTGTTTACAGAAAAATTCTTGTTCATTTCTTGCGTGCAAATCACGACATGTTGAAATAGAGAATGAGTTTTAGTATAGTAATTATTGTTGATGATGTGATGAGAAACGCAATTTTGGTGGATTTAATTGTGGTTTTTTTTGGAATATGATTTGGCTAAGATTAGATTTACTAGTAGTTTCCATCAATAATAAGACTCATAGTGCCGCTATCCTGTAATAGAATTTTCAATGTTCTCGGTATGTCTGGCCATTCGGTGGTTTATTTTACTTTTGCAGAACAACAGTAGATTCATAGCTTGGTCGGCACATATGAAAGCTATTGATTTTAGGGGTTACTATAAGAAGGCATTCATTTAATATTAAATAACCTTCCAAATCAACCTCAATAATCCTAAATTCCACAAAATGTGAGACATCACAAATGAAAGACCCCCAAAAAAATAAAACAAACATTGACATTCAGCCAAAAAAAATCTTACAATCCTGTAACTTACGAAAATATTCAGTTCAAAAACATCGCGCACACGAAAAAAGTTTCAATTCCCATTTTTCCTTCTCTCTCGACGCCTTCAACAGAAACAAAAAATATTTCTCTAGAAAATGATTAATGAATACATCTTTCCTCCCATTCCAATTAATTTATTTTCAGTGATGTTGTTCATCTACTCTTATCACATGATGACATCAATCCGAATGCATTAGATCAGCGTGGTTCATCGGCACTTCACTTGGCAGCATGGGCTGGTCATACTGACATATGTAAATTGCTCCTTAAACACCCGGCACTCCCAGCTGATCCAAACTGTCGTACAGCAGAGGATGAGACTCCTTTACATTTTGCGGCTCAACATGGACATCTAACAGCGATCATTGAACTTTTGACACATGGCGGTGATCCAAACATTGTGAATGTCAGAGATGAGACACCGCTGGATTTGGCTGCACAATATGGACGTCTACAAGTTGTACAGATTCTCGTTCGTGCTCATAATGAATTATTGTTGCCGTTAAAGGCCACATCAACACCACAATATCATACAGCATTACATTTAGCTAGTCGAAATGGACATCGTGATGTTGTCGAGTTGCTCCTTGCAGCTGGCTGTAATGTTAATATTCTCACACCAAATGGCAGTGCTTTACATGAGTCTGCGATGTGCGGTAAGGAAAAAGTTGTCAAAGCTCTCTTAAAGGAAGGAATCGATTTAGATCTGACAGATCGTGACGGAAGGACAGTCTTTGATTTATTGGATGAATTTCCAGCTCATGTTGTTCATCGTATACGAACAGTTATTAATAATTATCGGAAATCAACAATTTATGACAGTGAATCTGATGATCCACGTGAAGTTGATAGATATCCAAGACGTGGAAATGGATCTGGATATACAGAATATCGAGGTGGCTCAACATCAAATAGTAATCGAGGTAAAGCACGAATGCAGCAACCACAACAACTAAATCATCGTTATCAAGAGCATTATGACAATTATGGTGGAACAACAAGTCCATCAAGTTCAATGGGAAGTTTTGGAGGAGGAATCAGTCCAACACCACCACATCCAGCGGGAGTTATGGTCAAAATCACACCAAGAAGTGTTCCATTAAAGCCACCAAGAAAATCACAATCAATTTCACCACCAAGTCATCCACATACACTACATCCAATTAGTCGCTCATTTGACATGCTGGATTATGATATTGATCACAGTCTACATCACAGCTCTAATGATCAACTTGATTGTTCATCATCGACATCCTCAAATCATCATTATAATAATAATAACAATAACAGTAGTTATAATAAGAATCAAAAGTCAAACAAGACGGGAAACGGAAGTCAAAGAACGCCATACGAGTATCTATACTTATCGCAAAGTGGTGAATCAGACGGGCAACAAAAGAAAAGCTTGAAAAAGAAAACAACGCCGAGTGAGGAACAGAAGAGTGAAAGTGATTATATTATCATGAATGCGCCAATAACAATACCGGCTGATTATGATAAGAAAATTGTTCGTGTCGCAAATCCACATAGGAAATTGAGACGACCAAAGGATGGATACAGTCAAGAGAGCGAGTAAGTATTGTTTATGATTGAGGGAATTTTTAAAGATGAAAATGGCGCTGACGTCTTTATTATGTCAGTTTGTCTGTCAATTAAAGACATTAAATGCAGCAAATACGCTTTAGTCAGTGACGAGTGACCATACGACTTTGCTGCATCAATGACTCTTGATGTTCGTGAGCAAGTGAATAAATAATGATCTAAGAATGTTATGGGATATTGTGAGTCATTGGCACATAGGGAGCATGAAATTGAATTTGCAGATATTAAGTATGGTAAGCACTGTTGGTGGGATGACTTTTTGGATGAGCTCTAGCTTGCCACAAGAACAGTTCAATGAGCTTCCCAAAAAAACCTTCATGTGTGGCATAAACCTCGAGAATCACCATAATAATCACCCAATTAGGCCACATAATCTTTACTTTATGACCCTCTATACACGTATAATCCCCTTCAGATAACACAAAAGCGCAGTCATCTGCATAAATTCCCAATACGAATGCTGAGAATACTCTCATTAATAATTCATTTTCTTTACAGCACATTTGTTCAAGTTCGTCGTAATCCCAATGAGCCGCCATTATCACCAACTCATTATCCAAAAGCATCAACGCCAGAGCACGCACCGCCAAGTGTAGAGCAAGCTGAAAACTATATATTTTCAAGGATTCGACCATTGAGTCAGGTGAGTGAGGATCGTCCAGAAATAAAGCCTGCCGATGAGGGACTTTACTTACCAATGGATCAGTACAAAAATAAAAATCAAAAATCCGATATGTTTCATTAATTATAGTGAGATACAAAAATCTTTACGCGCTCATAAAAGTAAAATTTGACATGCATGCAAAAAATATTTTTTGACATAAACGAAACACGTTTTTGCAATTTATTATGATTATCATGCTTAAAGTCGACAGTGGTTCAATGTTTACACAATTTATATTTTTTTCGTTCTTTTTTTGTTGTTGAAGAAGAAAAAACTGAAAATTTGCACACATAGGAACAAAGAATAATAAGCCACAGAATAATGAAAAAACCGCGAAGTGAAAAAAAAAACTATTTTGGCGACGATGGCAAGCGGTTATTTTTTGTGGGGATTTTGAAGTAGTTTTGTAGTTTTATGATGTTTGGGAGGTAACTTAAAACTTATATGTAAGAGATTAAAGCTAGTAAATTTGTGGAACTTCGAAGATTTGCTTAAAGTTAAAAAATTAAAATTCAAGAAATTTTTAAAAAACTTTACAGTTCAAAAAATTCAATTTACAAACCACAAAACTCCTTCAAAACCATCCACAAATAAATAAGTTTCAAACTCCTACAAAACAAACGTCATTTAAAGTTTGCATTTCAACTCAAATAAACTTCAATGCAATGCCCTCAATGCGAAAAAAAATAAATATTAAAATTCCGTCTTTTCATTTTTTTTATTCTTCTTATTTCGAATTTAAAAATACATTTTTTGATGTTTTGTGTGTAAATAATGAAAAACTTCATGCTTAATTTTCTGTTTGTGCAAAAAAAAAAGATCCGAAAACCACCAAACGATAATGACATGCCTTTATGCCACAAACTCGAGCATTAAAATACCTCTTTAGTGCATATTTTTTTAAAGCTTGTCTAATAGTTGGGTTGAGATGTTGGTAATGACCGTATTTTTTTCGGATAGATGACGAATTTTGATCGAAGTTAAGGGGGTTCTAGGTAGATTATATTGGGTCGAGGCATTTTTCGTGCGTGATTGCAGGTCAATGAGACATGGTTAATTGATTTTAATGGTTGAAATGAAAAGTAATGGGGTGTGGAAAGAATAAGTTAATTAAACTTAAACTGTGGGGTTCTTAGGCTTCATGATTTGACTTCTACTAGCTTTTGAAGCTTGAATCAACCTAAACATCTCAGTCTAAACCAAAAGATATGCACTAAAAAGTCGTAAATCATTTGCATTGTCACTTATATTTTTACTTCTTTTTCTTTGCCTTAATATCCATTAAACCTTTATAAATTCTTTATTTACATGACAAATACCCAACCAAGAACTACTTGAAATTAAATAGAATTTATTATACAATGTACATGCATTATACTCCACAAAGCGGTAGCCCATAACGCTAGTTGAATATTGAAAAAGTTTATTTTTTATAGATTATCATTAAATCTTTATTATTATTCATCATCTGTTATGCTAGTCGTATTAATGTTTCACATTTTACAGTGATGACTATTAAGCTGAATAGATTAAAAATATGCCAAATTATTTTTATTTTTATTTCATTTCTTTCATATGTTAAAAATAGACTAGACAAAGAAGAAAAAGTGAATAGCACATTTCAAATGTGGCATTTGTGTACACAAGTAAATTGAATTTTTGTTTATAGGACGTCAAAAAAAAGTTGAATTTTTAATGTTAAACTTTATGTAGCATTTCAATATCAAGTGTTTGGACTTGGGTGTAGTCAGGGGGGTCAATAGGGTCTGATTAAATTCAATTAATACTATCTAAAATCAAGATAAAATCAATATAGCCTAATTTAGACCCCGTAAAAAATACTAAGGACCCCTAGCTACTCCCCTGCAGTCACTAAAGCTTGATATATCTGCAAAATTTATACGAAATTATCGAATTCCGAAATTAAGCTTAACTCGATTATTGGGTGGAATATTAGTTGAATTATTTGAGCATTAAATAAGTTCATCAGTGATAAATTTGAAAAACTGTGAAAGTGCCTTAAAGTATTTTTATTGAGAAATTTATAAATTTAACCTTAAAAGTCATTACAGTATTTACCGAAAATTCTTGCCATTCATACTGTGAGCAACACCCATATTTGCCACAATCAGCTTCATTTATCGCTGCCACAAGGACGCAAACCATTTCATGTTCTCTATCTAGTCACACAAATTTAAATCCACGAATATTCCAACTCTAATCCTCCTCCAAACCACACAACACATGTTCTTTAGTCTACAACAATATTATCTATTCCATAAAATCCCCGCATTTTGTACTTCATTATCTTCATTTCTCCATCCTTTTTAAAGTTCCTTTCTCATTTCACAATGGTTATTTAAATCACATACATAAGAACATCAATGTCTATTTTTTGTATGATTTATTATTGTTGATGAAATATTTTCTTACCACGAAAGCCGTCCACCACTCCCAAAGCGACAGTGAAGTGAGACAGAGGCATCAAAACATGACAGAAAGAATAAAAAATAATGAAGAAGATAATGGGAAAGTTTTGGAGTTATTAAAAGAGTTTATGGAGCATTTATAAGATTTTTAAAGTTGGAATTATAAAATTCTTATAGCTATCGATCGGTGCTCGCTAGGGTTCTTAATCTAGGATTTCCTAGAATTCGACTTCATCTATAAGATGTGATTTTTATACATTTTGTTTTAAATCGACTAAGATTAAGGCGTGTGACCTCAACTAGGATCCTTTTGATCAACTTTCTCCCGAATGACATACTGCCAATAACTCAAACTCAATACCACACAAAACATTGCTAAAAAATTATGTTGAAAGCGATCCCATGCGACTGTTATAAAAGCTGTCGAGGAGTGTTACTTCGAATGTTAATTGCAAAATTGGGTGATGCTCACTTCTATCAATTTATTGAATGCAGCAATAAAAGTATGCTCAATCGAAACATAATTGGGAATATGGGAGAGTCTATAAACTTTTTTTTTTGTATTATTATCATTATTTGACCTTTTTTCTTTACTTTATTTTTCGCTTTTTTGTATTTAAAAATTTAATTAAATTAAACTTTTTTGTTATTTAAGAAAACTTTTTCTGTTGTTCCTAATTTTTAAATTATTAATAATGATTTATTATATTTGACAAAGAAACATTTTTGTGTCTTTTGTATTTATTAATAAAAGAAAACTGAAAAAATTAATTAAACAAATTTTTTATTTGTTCAAATGCTAGTTTTTTACTTATTACTTAATATTTTTTTTCTTTTGTTGCTAGTGATGCTGTTGTTGTTTCCTTTCCTTAATTTCTTTATTTGTTCATTCATTCATATTTTTTGTTAATAAGGAAGTTGTGGCTTGTTTCTTCATTTCTTTTGAATAATCTTAATTTTATTGGTTCAAAACATCTCAAAATCAGACTTTAATAGTTTGATCTTAAAACAGTGATTCTTAGACTCTGTTCTATGGAATACTGGTATCTACTAGTGTCTTTTAGTGTCCATGAGTTTCCATTACTGGCCATTAGTGTTTACTAGTGTCCATTAGTGTCTACTAGTGTCTAATAGTGTTCTCTATCATCTGTCAGTGGTTTCAGTGTCTCTTAATATAGTAACTACGAGTGTCGTTCAGGATCCTCTAGTTACTCATAATGTCATTTATATTTCCTCTTGTGTTGCCAAATAGAAGTTTTAATGCAAGCTAATATGCCACAAAATTTCAAAATGGCTCCTAGTTTGAAAGAACCAAAAAAATTTAAGAACCACTGACTTAATGACTAGAAGATTTGCTAAATTAAAGACATCAAAATTTGACTCCAAATCGACTCTAGTCTTTGGAAATCATTAATTAAGTCTTTACATAATCTAGCCAACTGAATCTTCATTTTTATCTCAAATAATTTTCCAATCAGTCACACTAGTACGATTATCCATCAATGATTCAAAACCGTCAATATAAAAACTGCTTTAATCCTCAAAAATCACATCCCAATGGAAATCAAAATTCACAAATAAATTTTTTAACAGATCATCAAAATATTCACATTCTGCTTCTGTGAGCTTTTCATTCCGATTCATGCTGTAAAATCCATTAATTTTAATCCGCTACACTTACTCTCATTTTTCTCCAACCTCAAAAAGCATCCATTCTATGCTCAGTGCCAATAACAATGTTTGTTAAATTATAAAAATACATTGTAAATTTAAGCCTTTAATTAGATTCCATTCAGAATGAAATTTTATGCGAAAGAATTTTTATAATATTCATAAATTAAGTCATGAGCAAATAATGAATAAATTTTTATTATTCTCATAGCACCACTCAACAGCACCTGAATTGAGACTAATCGATGAGTTTTGCAGAAAAAGTTTCTCATTGTTCAACGATCAAGTTTCAATAGAAATTGATTTTTGTGCTGCTGCTTGAGGAACACTGAACGAGTTATTTTTAATGAAGGCAGTTTGAAGAGGATGGAATGGATGAGGATTTTTAATTAAATTGCAAAACTGGATTAAAATTAATGAAATTTCAGGGAACTTTTGAGTTGATTTAATTGGATGAAAATGCAGTTTTGGGAATATGTTTTAAAATTAAGTGGATGAAGGAGATTGTTGGGAAGTTGTCGAGGTTGTCTAGTGCAATTTGAGATGTTTTGGAGCTGCTTTTAAATTGAATTAATTGAGTAAACATTGTTATTGGGATTTAAAATCACTAAGAACCTTCCCATGAACTCACTTGTATGATTTAAAACTGAAATTCGACAATTATGAGCTTTGCATTACTTCTTACCTGCTAGACAATTCCAAAAACTTGATCCAAGAATTTTTGATCAGCAACAAAAAATCACCCATTAATCAATATCGATTACAATACTAGAGATTGATATAAGCTCGAAAAATATACAAACCTGAACTCGAATTCTTAATTAAAAACTTGATGATGGTGTCAACAGCTCCAAGGTTACGGAAGACACTTTAAATCAACAATAAGCTCCAATGTATTCATTCAATCTGCAAGTTCTTGTTTGTTCAGTTGAGAAAATGCAAACAATTCTCTTCTATCTTTTATAAATGAGAATTTTTTTATTCAGATCTGTCATTAATCACAATGAACTTGAGCTATTGTAACATAAATATTATTCATGACACAGAAATCGACAGACAATTGAGAATTAATCGATTTACAATTCATGAAAATTAAATCATTGATTTTTGATTGAATCACAATTTAACCCTCGCAATCAATCTGGCTACTTGCTACACATTCTATGATATTCCGAAAAATGTCATGTAGCTGATTGTCATAAAATTCTTGATTGTTTCTCTTAATTAGATCAAAAAAATTTTTTGAAAATATTTCGAAAATGTCATCACAGTTTGGAGATTAGAAAATTGCTGCATGAGCTCGTCGGTAGTGTGGATGAATTTTAGATTATTTAAGTAATATTAATGATGAATGTGACATGCCACAATTTCCTTTAGATGAGGTTTTATGGAGCGGATTTGGATGGTTAAATTCAGAGAGTCAATTTTAGAGTCTTTAAAGATATGGTGTGGTTGCTAATGATAGGGTTGATACTAGGTTTCCTAGGCTAGCTAGCTTGTCTGAAATTTTTTTTAAGTGTATTCTATTCATAGAAAAATAAATCCTGACTCTAATAGTGCTTAAATAGACACAACATTATACATCAACCTACAAAGTGCACCACAATTCCTTATTTTAGCATCACATCATTTTTATAATTTTATTTCCAGCTTTTCAAGTTTCCATATTCTTTAATTTAATTTTTTTCATTCATTCATTCTTTTTAATAATTTTTAATGCATCAACTTATTTTTTCTTTGTGAATTATTTCCTTTTTCATAAATCAAAGACTTTAGCTCTTCTGCATGCTCTTCATACTTTACTATAAATTCTGCTACACATCGATTCTCTTTATCTTTATATTTCCTACTTGAACATATTTTTTTTATCATATGTTCACGCTATTGCTAATGTATACACAACATTCGCATACATCTTTATGCTATCTCATTCATAAATTTTAAATGTCAGCATTTTTATCGCTATTGTGTGTACAGTGTGTATCTGTTAGACTAGACATGGAAACATTGATGGATTGGGGTTTTGGGAATTTAGGAGGGGGATCTGGGGATACATTTTTACTTGATTTCATTTTTTTCTGTCATTTTTAACTTCCCCGATTTTTATTGTTTTTATTACCGATGACTTCTGCATGTTCCCATCCCAAGACATTATTCCATATTATTTGCGTTCTGCTCGCAATTTTTCTCAGTTCTGTTACGATTATTAAAAACTCGTTCATATTCATTTATGTCGTAATGCTTCTAACTTATCACACAACATTATGGAAGGATTTTGTTCATTAATTTTACGAGTTTTTGACAAATGATTTGACCCAGTTAACAATAATCACACTTGCTGATTGCTCTATAGATACAAACATGTATTTCCATATCCATAAATGAACTTAAGGAAATTTTTTATCTTTCTTTTCTTTTCTCTTTTTTTCTTCTTTCTCTTGCTGCTTCAAAAATCTATTTCGAATTTATTCATCCATTCTCTTCCCGTCTCTCAATTGTTCAACATATAATCTCTAATGCATTCAAAATGTAAATTGAATGTGCATCATATATCTTAAATTATCATAATACAATGCACATCATAATGAATGAATCAATGACAATAGGAATATAAGAGGTGTTCCGGTAAATTGGATTTTAATAAATCGCCCGCATCAGCATCAAGTGGTTCCCTCAGTTCTGTGTCACTATCCAGTTCGACTGATTGTGTTGAAGAATATCATGGAGATGCACCGTTTGCTGGTGAGTTTTATTCATTTATTCTCTTTGTTATGCTCATTTATAGCGGGATTTTTTGGATGGGATTTTGTAAGTGAATTATTGATGGCTTTATGTCAGCTATGTATGATGAAATTACTGGTAAGGGAGGCAATTTAAAAAAAAAATTAAAATTCGGGTCTCGGACTCTCGCCGGGACACAAACTTTCAACGGACCTCCCCCCCCCCCCTCTGCCTGACCTTTAAATCATCCGATGATACCAAAGATGATCAAAAATTAACCACAAAATCTCCCGCCAAAAATGCGCTCTAATTTCCATCATCAAAATATTCAATTTTACACATTTACTCACTTCTCAATTTCATTCACATCTCCACATACGAGAAGAGAACACTCTCCACTCTCATTCATTATTTGTGATTGTACTACTATAGTGAGACTATTACTGTATAGTGGAGATTGAAACATAAATCACATGACGTCATATAAAATGTGTATTCTCATTCACAACTACCTTCATCGACTAAGGAATGAGACTGTATGTAGAAATTCTTCTTTATTGTTTGTCATCATTCTATGAGGGAATATTCTTCTGTAATGTGATGTAAATTGCTATAAAAACGTGTCTGGTAACTCAATATATCATGTAATTAAAGATTTATTGTGGTAATATTAGAATTTTAGATGCACAAGAATTTTATGGCATGTATTTTTCTCCACTTCTTAATACCGTAAAAATGATTGTTAATTGCGGTCGAAGAGATATTAAATATCCCCATTATCTATCCAAAGATATAGCTTGAAATGCAAGCGTTTTGTTATTTGGTGAAATGGTTTGGTCATTTATTAAGTTTAGCGATATTCTATGGAAATGAATTGTCTTCGGCTTTATTTATTGGAATGCAATAAATATGGATTTTATGGAGGGCGTGTATTGGGTTTGGATATTGTGAATAGTCTGAACTTTCTGTAAGTCTGTAATTGATACTTTTTGGAGAAATTAGTCCCGGTATCTTGGGAATCTGTGATGAATAAACCTGTAGATTCAGGAGACTATGAAATTATAATTATATTAAATAAAGCATCTGATTTGCATATCATGCATGTCCATCTTATCACAAATCGATTCATCTCTAACCATTTGAATAAATGTAATTTGCATCACAAATTTAGCACATCGTAAAACGTTATCATGCTCCATACTGCAAATATCATTCTAATTTTATACAAAATTATCACCCAAGATGAATCATCAGAAAATTCTATTTTACAGATTTTTTAAAAACTATTTGAAATAATTTTTGTTGACCTTTCATCCACTCCAGACCCCTTTTGATGTGCATTTCAATTCATCTATGTACATTTTACTTAAATAATCTTACAAACTCATTAATTATGTCCGATTCTGCTCCATATACGTTTCAAAGACAGAACCTCTGAGCATAAAAGATTATCATCATCAATAATTTATTCAAACTGCCCTAATTAAGCGACTAATAATAGCACGTCATCCATAATTCATAAAAAATACTCCCATAAATTCCTTCAATTTGTCAAAATCACAATCAAAACAGAGAATAATTTTTTTAACGAATAGAATAAATAAATGTGAGTGCTATGCATCTTATCTTATCAGTCCACGAGGTTATAATTTGCAATACGAGCGTATAGACTAATTTTCTGGTTTCCTCGATCAATAAAATTATTAATAGGAGTGTTTTGACACAGAAAATGTAATGAAAACTAGAATTGGTGCTTAGTAATGTTTCTGTTGGGGATTCAGGTTGATTGAGGTGTCGGGAAATTGGAAGATTGAGGTTTTATGGGTCTTGAATTTTTAATAAGCATGTTTAGAACTTTTGGATGGTTAATTTGGAATTAGAAAAATTCATAATAAATTGTCATAAGACCCCCCCTCATCTAAAGAGCTGTACCTCCAATCAAAACTTCATAAACTTCTCACAATCTCACAAAAAAAATCACCCAAAAAAGCGCACAGTCAAGAATCTCTAAACACAAAGTCGTCTGATAAGATTCCACAGTGTACTACATAGTCAGTAGTTGAGCCTGCCAGATAAACAGACATACAAAGAAGTCGAACAAACAACATTTGAATAAGCACATTGCTGAGAGAATTTTATTTTACTTTCGTTTCTCTTTCAACTTCTTGTTCGTATGTATGCATTTTTATTTACTACCAGTCAGTTGATCGGCAGATGTAGACGTGAACAGTGTTACTAGTTTTTCTCCCCATTTATATTATTTTGAGTTCGTTCTTTTGTTTGGAGCAAAAAAAAATTATATATTTTATTAGACGAGAAAAAAAAGATTGAATTTCCTCCTTTCTCCAGCAAAACGACAACAGACACGAATTGTTGTTGAAGTTATTTTATTGAGTAAAAATAATAATAATAACAAAATAAACTAAACGTGAATTTAAATCGCAAAGTGATAAGTTATATAGTACAATAAAAAAATAATATTAATTAGTTTGCCTCGTTTATATGTGATAATAAAGTGAGTTGAGTCACACATGTGAGAATGTAATGAACTTTATTAATGGAATGTCGATAGATTACATTATATCGCACTGTTCTTATTAAAGTGTTTATCATTTTACAATTGGAGGTTACTAACGTATAGTGTAGATGAGAACAGATCAATATACAAATAGACTGTCAAACTGGCAGATAAGCAGAAAGAACTAGCAACTTTCCTATACAAAAAATCCACAAAAATATTTGATCAGACACATAATCAGTGATTTCATCGATTTTGCCAATTGGCGACTAAAAATATCGCGAAGAAAAATTGGAAGAATTTAAATTCGGAATCAATAATTTCTGTCTGCTGCCTGTGTAAAGATTCAAAATGCTGTAATAAAAATTTCTACTGAGTGCCAATTGAAATCTTTCGGATTAAACTTCCTAGTATCAACAATCCATGAGAAAATTTTCAAGTCTGTAATTAAATTATCAGAAAGAAGTCAGACTCAGGTATAGATTTCAACGTGTTTGATGAATATTTGACTGAAAAGCTGTATAAATGATACATTAAATTCTGTACTAGCTGTAGGCAAGTTTATGTCAAAAATTATACATGATATTTAATAACAGATTAGGATTAAGCAGTCCTAAACCTGTCTTGGGAAAATATTGTGTCAAATGCTGGGTCAGTGAGTCGTTGAAGTTAGTTTGAGCTTTGAAATTTTTTGTATAACGAGTTTTTTTGCTGTTTATTGGAATGGAAACCTTCTAGAACTCTTAAGAATATTTAATTTGATTACTTTGTGCTGTAAGATTTGGTATTAAAACAAAAGGATCGTTGCTCATCTACAGTTTGATAGGAACTCAATACATAGAGAGACAACTTTAATTTGGTCATTCATTGAATTCAGAATGTACATTATAAAAGTATAAATAAAACTTTCACACCTTCTGGGGATTCATGAGTAATATTCCCAATAAAATCAGGTTATTTCACAGGAACTAAACACATCGTATTGAGGTCAATTTGTGTAAAGAAGTGCAATATCTTTAGAAAATAATTTCTTCTTCTAGGAAGACACCTACACGGGATTTTTATTTGAATTATTTGCTTCAAATGAACCCGAGTATTTTCCATTAGGTATGCGGTGGTTAATAAAAGTGTTCATTCTTCCTCATTATTTACCTCTCGCTAGATATTGTCCCCATCAAAAATACTTTTTGCTAATTTGCAATTAAAAATATTCACAATAGATTTAATAATTTCCCCATAGTTCTCATATACTTCCTATTAGTTCCAAGTAATTTGCAAATAACAATCTTCCTGTTAACTTGTTGATAATTTACTACATAATAAATTAAAAACTCATCATACAATTTCTATAATTGCTGACCTATCGTAAAAAAATAAATTAAAAAAAAAATACAAATTGCTGTTGCAGAATATTAAAATTATTACAATTGCCTGCGACTTTAGCTATTCAAGGTTCGCGACAGTAAATTTGATATAAAGTAATGACCCAAAAAAAAATTCATTCACGAACTTCCAATTCAATTGTTGCACAAATTCTTCAACGATGATGTCAGAGAATACGTAAAGTGAAATTCTGATAACTTAATCAATTCATAAGTGCTGCTTACATGATTCATGAGCTATTGCCATGCATATTAAATAAATTTGGATTCTTGCTAGAACTTTTTCTGCAACATTCTATGTGCTTATGACAAATTCTTTTATTGGAATTTAAGGAATTGATGTTTGCATGCGAATGACGAATTGAAGTGGTTATGATAACATCCTTAATTATGGAATTGATGACAGAAATGATAAAATGCTGTTTTAAAATAAAGATTTCGTCAAAAAAGGATTCAAAGGAAGTTGAAGTCAACCTATGGTCTTCAGCCAGTGCTAAAAAATAATAACTAGCAATAATAAATTCTAGCTGCATCTTTGATCCCCATAAAAAATCAAATCTTAACCAAATCCCTCCAAAAACAAGATCAAAAGCCTGCAGATCAACTCAAAAAAAAACATTGACACAACCTAAACATTAAAAAGAAAAACACACCATCAATCATCTCTGATGCAATACTTCATAGTCTAATAATGATTTCATGTACGTGATGAATCTGCTACTTCATGACATTTCCAAGAAGCTCTTATAACTTGCGAATATTTACATTAACAGATGTGTGTATTTAGAAATAATATTTATCCATTATCTACATCCAGGAATCTTGAAAAGAAAGAGAATGTGAAGAAAAAATATTTTTATGCATAAATAAGATTTTAATCTCAATGACAATATAGTTTTTTGAAAGGTTCTAGACATGAGGGATAGTGAGTTTATGTTTTGTAGGTTTTAAAGTTATGTTTCGTGAGGCTTAGTAGCCTAATTACTGTTGATTAAGGTCTACAAAATTCATTTAATGACCGAGACATGAGTTCGAATCTTAGTATTGTTAACTTTTAGAATTTTAGGTGTTTATAGCGTTAAATTAATTGATAAACTTATTTATTAGATCTTATGACGGCT